CCCCGAGCAATACTGTTCATGCCATCAATGGCAGAAATGCCCGTCTGAATCATTTCCTCTGGGTAGATTCGACACTGAGGATTGATTGGCTGACCTAAAGCAGTTCCAGAAGGGAATCTTTACGGTTGTGTATATTATTTACGAATGAAGTAGAAACCAAACGAAGTTAAAAGAAAAAGAAGACCCAAACTACATGAAGATTTTCTACCTTTAAAAAACTTCAGCTATTTTTTAAATTTGAAGCTTGAAATATTTCCCCCTTGATCCTTTAGACTCACAAAATACAATGTAATAGAACTCAAGTCTCTAAAATGAAATAAAAAACACAGCAAATAAAAGTCTTAATTTCAGAGCCATAGTTTAGCCTTAAACGTTACTATTCCTAGAAATACTTTACAGTGTCGTAAGATATTACCCAAAATTTTAAGATAATTTCTAGGAGAAACTGAGTAGTAAGGTAACTGCATAATTATAACCCACAGAAAGCACTGGTTATATATTTAAGGGTGCCGTAAAATCCCCTCTCTGGGTGTGTGGGAGCCCCCCTCCCGCCCAGTGCAGAAGCTGCATCTACTGCTCCTACCCATGATGTCCAGGAAGTCTTCGGCCAGCACAGAAGGACCCTTGTCAATCGGTTTTCCGGATCCATTGAATACTCGACCTGCACAACAGTGACAAGATGGTACAGAGCAGGGCCTAGATGTTATGGAAATACATTTCAGAGGCAAAGACCTTAGCTTAGAATTGAGGGTAACATTCATTTACCCAGCATATCCTCAGACACTGGCGTTCGAAGAATATCTCCAGTAAACTCGCAGGATGTTTTCTTTGCATCTATACCTGAAGTCCCTTCAAACACCTATCAAAAGAGAAAATTATCACAAGAATAAAAGCAATTTAGACGATGAGCACTTGCTTAAAATGTTTAAGACCTGACCGACCCTTCATGTTATCTGAGAAAACCTCTTTTCACATAGTCCAAAATAGGACAGAAGAGATAATTTAAAGGACTAATGGACTCTGCTATTGTTTTGATTTCTTTTCATAATCGGCGAATTCTGATTTTCATCTCTTTTCTTGGGATTTTACCTATTTACAACAGTATTTCCCCCATAAAGCCAATAGTCAATCTCTAAAGTAAAAATAACTAGAAATTCTAAGCCAAAGTGCAGCATCCTCGTGTGCTTTATCAGGAGCCAGCCCAACTGCCCAGGCTGGAAAGCCGATGCTCACCTGAACCACTGCTTTGGAGCCACTGATTTCCAGGACCTGCCCGCTCCTCTTGGTGCCATCGGGTAACGTCAGGTGGACAATCTCAGAGTACCTGGGGAACTGAACAGGAAGGAAGCAAAGGAGCAATAACCAGCAGTTTAAATGCTGCCTGAGTTGCTCTTTAGCCAGCTTAGCCACAGCCTCTAACCTACGTGATCCCCCGCCCTTCTACAAGGCAGGTTTATGCCAAGAGAATCCTTCCAATACACAGCACTAACGCATACTACAGCTGCAGTGTAAGGTTCGGAAAGAGGGCCTTAAACTGTTTTTCTGAAGACACAGTAACTCCATCTGCTGTTCTTCCTCCGTGTGCACGCTTTAAAGTTCTGACACTACAGAATGGTACAAAGTCACAAATAACCAAGTTCCTACCACCCAGAGCTGATGCTAACTTTCTGGCTTCTGCATGCGGTCACCCGTGTGCAATAGGACGACACAACACCACACAAAAAGTACATGTCTCTAAAAATATGTATTTACCTAAGTGGCAATGTACTGAATTGTATCATTTTACAACTTGCTTCTCTTACCAAACATAATATGCTGTCACCTTACATTTACCTTAACTGATCAACATGCAGGATTATACTGCAAAGCACTGTCTTCATGTGCCTTCTAATAGTTTAACCACCTTTCCCTTCACCTTTGTCAATCTGGTATTTTCTTACTTATCTGTACTACTGACTGGATTATTAACCTTTTTGCAAATATTTACTTTGTAAGTTTGTTTATGGAAGACTTACTGTTGTTTTGTGATTTATGACTCTCTGCATTTATTTTTGGTATCCAATTTTATTTTTTCATTTTTCCTTTTCTGGCAGAACTAGGGATTGAACTCAGACTGCTGCACTTGCCAGGGAAGCACTTATTCTACTGAGCCATCTCCCCAGCCCCATTCATTTTTATTTTTCACATGGCAAATGAGTTTTCCCAACAGTATTCTGGCAAGCACAAGTGTCTTCTTTCTTTTTTCCTATTTCCTTCCTTCCTCTCTTTTTGAGGCAGGATCTCTCTATATAGTTTAGGGGAGGTTTGTTTGTTTATTTATTTATTTATTTGGTGCCAAGGACCAAACCTAGGGCTTCCCGCTTGCTAGGCAAGCATTCTACTGCTGAGCCAAATTCTCAGTCCCCTTATACAGTTTAGACTGGTTTTGAACTCCCTGGGTAGCCCAGGGTGGCCCTGAATTCACAGGGATTCTCCTGCCTCAGCTTCCAAAGTGCTATGATCACAAGCGTGCACTGTTATGCCCAGCAGTACAAGTACTAAACTCATAATGTCCAATTAACCAAGTAAAAATCCTATGCATGAAGACTGTTCATTTTAAGGACCTTAATTTTGCTTCACTGATGTGTTTATTCCTGCACTGAATCCTCATGATGTATTATTACCTTCTACTGAACCATCTGAGGAGAAGCAATACTTGTACTATTTTGATTTCATTCACTCAAAATAAGTATAGTCCAGGTGCACTCTCCACCTGTGCTGGGTCTTCTTTTATGGTCTTTTAATGAAATTTTAGTTTTCTATAAATAATCAGTTCAGGCACTGAGAACACTGCCACGTTCTGCACACTGCTCCTGCACACACAACTCCTTTCCACACCACTGTTTCTAATAGTTTGCCACACCCAAGCCATTCAGTGGCAGATTAATCACACCAGAAGCAATGATACTTGTTCCCTTTTAATTCCCTTCTACTCTAGTTTTCTCCCCAGAGCACAAATGCCAAGCACAAAGATAATGTCATGCTAACAGGCACTCGTTTTGTTCCTGACTATGACACTGTGCTGTATAAGGGTGTATCTGGCCTTAGTCCACAGGTCCTGTGACTGCTGAAGTGACAGGAAGAACAAAGGTAAAAGGAGCATCTTCTATAATTCATAGCCCCTTTCAACTGCACACGTGTACCTTAGTGACCTTTGGAAGGCCCTGAAGGGTACTAGGAGAGGGAAAGCACTGGTTGCCAGGGGAACAAGCTCCAGATTAGAGGGTTAGAACTGTCACCCCATCCTCTGTCCTCTGAGGAAAGCAGAGTCCACAGTCTGACATAATCATCACTGGCCAGGATTTGCCAGATAATGCCTGTGTAATGAAGTCTCTACAGAAATCCTAACTAAAGGGTGTTAGCAGCTTTGGAGCTAGTAAACAAGAATGCATCCACATGCCGAGATGGTGGCCCATCACAGTTCCCTGGAGACAGAAGCTCCTGTTCAGAGGACCCTTCAGGACTCACCCCATACATCCTTTCATCTGGATGTCTATTTGTATGCACCCTTTAGATACCCTTTGCAAAAAGCAGCAAGTAAACTCTTTTCTGGGCTTTGATGACTATTTTAGTACACTATGGATACTGAGAAGAAAACTCAACTTAGAGCCATGGCAGACAGTAGCTAAGGGTAGAGACCTGTCGGCCATGAGTGGCACCTGAAGCAATAGGCAGTACTAGGCAACAGACCCCTGTGGACTCTGCAATTAATGAGAACTGAGTCAAAATGAGGAACACCCAGCAGGGAGTGTGCTGAAAAACAGAGCTAGCGTGCAGGAAAAGCCCACACACTGGGCGTCCCAGGTGAAATATGGAGAGTGGCAGGACAGGAAACAAGCAGACGTTCTCGGGAAGGTTTCTGCACTCTCCTTCAACACGCTATCTGTCTTCCTTGTGGGAAGGTTAAGGCTGCTCTGCTCCTTTATAAGAGGCTGCCTTCTTAAATGAAGTTTTAATAGATACTTTTTAGAAAAGTATAAGCATTTTCTAGTTTAATCCATAAATGTGCTGAATTACACTGATATATTTCTAATGTGAAATCATCTTTTTGTAATTATCTGGATAAACACTCTTGTCATAATTTAGTTGATTTCTGCATGGGCATTTTTGCTAACATCTAACATTAAGTACATTTCACTGAGGATTTTGGAATATATGCTGTATTTTTCTGTTCCTGCATTGCCCTTTGGTTGTGAAATCAAATATAAGCTTATTCCATTCAGTGAGTTGGAGAGAGGCTCTGCATCTTCTTTCATTTGAACAGAATTTAATTATATGTTCCTTACTCCTATGTGTATGGCTTACAGTAATTACAAACAAAAGCAAAAAACTTAACACAATATCCCCCAACACACACTACTCTAAATATAGTACAGTACAGAACAATTAGTTTTTTCTTTTTTTTTTTTTTTTAAGACAGCAAGACAGTGCCTCACTATGTAGCCCAGGATAGCCTCAATCTCATGAGGTTCTCCTGCTTCAGCCTTCTAAATGCTGAGATTACAGGCATGCACCACCACACATGCCGATTTTTTAGTAACAGAAAATTTATTCACCAGCTTTTCCTCACCTAGAGCCATATCTCAAAATAATATTCAATAAAACTTTTTGTTTTCTTATAATTACTTTCCCAAGCCAATTACGGTGGTGGAAGGCTCTAATTTCAGCTATTTGGTACACTTACCAAATTCAAGGCCAGCCCAGGCAACTTAGTGAGACCCGCCTCAAGAAATAAAAAGGGCTGGAGTATCAGTAGCTCAGTGGTAGAGTGCCTGCCAAGCATGCATGAGGCTCTGGGTTCAATCTCAGGTAGTACACCTCTTCCCCTACACAAAACCCCACAGATGTTGCTAAGGCTTTCTAGCTTCTCTCTTACAGCATCCTACGTTGCCCTTACAGCACTATCACATCCTTATGTATTTATTCTCTACCTCCTTCTCTACTGTACTATGTGCTTCAGTGAGGGAGGGCCCATTGTGTTCACCACTGTATTTTCTATGCTGAGCTCAGAGCTTAACAAAACTGAAACTAAGTATTTGGTTAGCAGTTTCTTAATAACACTAATACAAAAAGTTCTATTTTAAACAGACATATCACAGGCTGCTCTGTGTGTAATCTTGGCAACTTTGGGGGCTGAAGATGAAGAATGGCAAGCTCAAACCCAGCATGGCCAACTTAGTCAGACTCCATACCCAAAAGGCAGCGAGGGTTTTATTTAGCAAAGAAGATGGGTGCAGGGAGAGAGAAGAAATGAAGAGTAAGGACACCATTTAAACTTCCTAATACTTTTCTAAGAAAAAAGGTGTAGGCTTCATTTTTTTTTTTTTCTTTTTTGGTAGAACCGGGGATTGAACTCAGGCCCTTATGCTTGCCAGTCAAGTGCTTATTCTACTGAGCCATTGGCTCCCCTTAGACACACTGAGGCTTAGATGGATCTGCAGGCAGTATGAAACTGTGGTGGGGAGGTAAACTTGCTGGGGGCTTTGCCCTTTTATAAAACAGCCTTCAATTTGGCTTTAGGGGCTGGGGTGGGACGGGTGGTCACATGCCAAACATACCTCATCACCAACAGCCTCTATCAACAAAGTAGTAACTGTGTGCTTCTCCCCCACCTAGCCCAGCAACAGCTAATGCAGAGTTGCCGTTCTACAAAGTATATTACATAAATGAGTTAGTTGCTCTGTGGATATTCTGACAGGACAGCTCAGGCAGGAAGCCTGGCCAGGGTGTCTACTTATAAACTGCATCCCATGTCTTGCTTTCTAAGATAATAGCAAATGCTTGTAATTATTTGCATGTGAATTTTTTTTTTTTTTTAACAGAGGTTAAACATGTTACAATCCTGATAACAAACGAGGTACATATAAGCTATGCATTAGGGCTTATTAGTTATGTCTGAGATGACTGGTTCTTTCTTGTATATTCATTGCTTAAATATCAATATTGAAGTCTTTAAGAAATGTAACAATTCTTCTAAGAGAAGTAACTTAAGAGATAAAACTTTATTAGAAAGGCCATATATATATATAAAATTAACAATGACACATGGCAGTCTATGACAGGATTGAAAATACCATCTACCTGCATAACACACGAAGGGCTATAAAACATCTCTTGTTTTTCTTGTAAAGCTGTTTTGTTTCTCTCCAGTTTTGCAGACAAAGAGCTCCAAGTCACAGCAGAACTCATACCAGATCTGGTACTGGAATCTGGTACTAGAATCCTGTTTTCCGGCTTTTGGACTCAATGACATCAGGCCACAGAAAGGCTTCAAAATTGTTACAAAAAGTCTCTAGTGTAGTGGGCAGGCCTAACACCAGGCTTTTTGCTAATAAACAGACTGTAACAGAGTGGCATTACCTTCACATGATCCAAGATCACCAGCGGACCGTTGACCCCGGATACTGTCTTATACGCTGGAACAAAAACACAGTAGAGTCACATTGAGTCAAACAGCCCAAAAGTCTACGGTACTTCCAAAGCCTCTAGCATACCTGTGGAAATATGGAACGATCAAAGAGCTATGCACATTTTCAGTGAATTTGCAACATACACTTTTACAATTCCTCATAGTTCATCTTCACACAATCAAAACCATTCTGAATCTTGCAAGCTAATGTTCTAAGTCACCAGAAGCTAATGTTCTAAGTCACCAGAACAGAAAACAGGGCTGCCTGCTTTTACAAATTCAGCTCTCACACAAAAGAGAATGAAGTATGTACAGGGAGGATTCCTGTGAGCCCGGCAAATAGAATTAGTTTTTATCTTGAGGAGAAAAGGAAAAATCTTTATAGATGAGATGCCATTCAGCTAACAAGCTAAGGAAGGGAAGGGGAATCTTAACAGCTTTATGCACAACTGACAAAATTTACAATGAAAATATGAGAAAATGTACCCAGCAAGGGACAGACATGATTAAATACCATCATAAAAACTGCTCAGCAGACTAAGTGCCTGCCTGGCAAGTGCAAGGACCCAAGTTTGATCCCCGGTACTGTACACTGTGTTGGCCCTGGAACCCTGGGCACACCTTGGCAGCTACCGAAACCAGGGGTGGTGGTGCACACCTGTAATCCCAGCACTGGATAGGCTAAGACAGAAGGATCACTAAGAGTCTGAGCTGTGTAGTCAGACTTAAATAAATAAATAAATTTAAAACTACAGGAAAAGAGCTTGTGGAGGATTTTAGGAAATTCAAGAAAAGGCCAGGGGTTAATTAAAGAGAAACGTCCTTTTTTTTTTTTTTAAATGTACTTTCTACATTGTCTACAGGGCCTTACTACACAGATTGGACTCATAGTGATCCCGTTTTCAGCTTTCCAAATGCTGGGATTACAGGTGTACCCCACCAAGTCCAGTCCCAGCATGTACCGGGAATAGGGCCAGCACAGCACACAGGGGATTGAACCCTGGTCCCTACTCCTGCCTAAGCAGGTGCTTTAGTCCACTGAGCTATCTGGCCAGCTAGAGAAATAGCCTTTAATTTTTTTAAACATTTTTATTTATTTGGTATAGGGTTTCACTACGCAGATCAGACTCATGCTGATCTTCCTGTTTTTAGCCTCCCCAGAGCTGGGATTAGAGGGGTGTGCCACCACACCAGGGCTTGGTTGTCAGCTCAGTGCGCCCCACGGATAGGGCAGGTGCAGCATGCAGGACTGGGGATTGAACCTGGTCCCTGTACTTGCTAAAGCAGAGAAATATCCTCTAAAAAGAAAAAGGGGAACCCCCCCCCCAAAAAAAAAAAGAAAGAGAAAGGGGGTGGTTGTGTATGGAACAGTAAATGTTACTACAAGGTTATTTCAGAAACTAATACTAACTGCTGCACAGTATGCCAGACATTCACTGCTTGTCTGTTCTGTAAGGTATGACCCCAATTGCCCATTTTAGAGAGAGAGCCGTGCTTCCTTGTGGAAGACCACCTGGTTAACTCTCTTGGAAAGGGCAATTATCTACATTTTAGCTAAATCTAGTCTCATGTCCATGTATGTACAGAGCTGGCTAGGACTAGGACTTGTCCGTATCTCCTCAATTGGCTTGAAGCAGTGCAAATCCACCCGGCACAGGTACTGGGGTATAGTCTTCTCCAAAGCAGCTGCCGGTCAGCCCCACCCCATGGCTCCCAAGAAGCCTGTGTGAGCCCCATGGGAGGGAGAGAGCCAGGCTCCATACTGTTGGCAAGGACCATGAGCCTCCCTCAGGGAAGAGGCTGAGGCTTCCCGGGGCATGACAGATTGCACAGCAGAGCTGAAAGCAGAGCCCAGAACTGTGTCACTGCCTTGAATTGTGTCGTGCAGGGTACTGCTTTGGCACACCCTTCTCTCTGCGTACTGAGAGGTGATCGCAGGCCTCCTGCTCAGCCCAGCTCATCACACTCAGTACTTCCTGCCCCTCACAGTATTCATCCTCCAGCCACTCTCTTCTTTACAAATTAGTAAAACCCAGGTTCAGCCTTGGGAGGGACCTTTGTTCAGGTTAGCCCTCAACCTAACTGGATTTAGGACGCTCTTGGCTCCCCACAACTACAAACATGCATTAATTTATTCTTGCTATGGGTTGCACTGAAGTGGTAGATTTGAATTAACTCCTTAGGATTACAATAACTTTCACTTGGGATTACAAATGTGGATTTTCCTGTACTGAAAGGAGGTCTGGAAGGGCATTCTATACTTCCTGGCAAGAGTAATGATGATTATGCATAAAAAAATTAATAGCAAAGAATAATTCTGACAGACTTCAAAATTTGAAAAAAAAATTCCTTTAGAAAATGTATTACCAAGCTTGAAATAACTTATATGAAGTTGGTAACCAATTATGAGCTTAGGACTCTTTCACTTGTTTGGTTTTTGAGCTTGGGCAGAGCTTGAGCTTGGGCTGAATTTCCTGGCATAAATACATGAACCCTAAAAATGAGGAAACCATTAAATAATCAGTTTGCTCAAGGGGCTGTGGAACTTAAGAATGCAATTCCCTCAGCCCGAGGATGGAGCAAACGCCCCATGCAAATGCTGGGGTACAGCAGGCAAGGAGTGCCACCCTTTATCCTAACCACAGTGGGACTTCTACATCCAGACAGCTAATATGTGCTGAGTGGATCAGTCACTCAACAAACTCAACAGAGGCCCCACAGATATTTCAAAAACTGTAGGTAAAAGAAGACCACAAGTTGAAAAAATAAGCTACCTGAATGGATCAGTCATTCTCCCTACGACTATAGAAAGACTGCATTTGCTGCAATTTCCTCCATTGTTAAATTATTCCTCATTATTTTAAAATAATCCACTATTGTTAAAAAAATACTTTCTACATTTATTCATAGTTCTTATTTTATAAGACTCCAAGCATTCTGTTGTCACGTCCTCCTCCTCCTCTTATGGTCCTGGGGACTGAACGCTGGGTCTTCTTCCCAGCCCCCCCCCCCCCCCCCAGCCTCAAACTTACAACCTTTCTGCCCCAGACTCCTGGGCAGTTAGGACTGCAGCCCTGCACTACCACAGCCCACTGTGGAACATGTTTTCTGAAAATCCAGTTTTCAAAAGAAAGGTTTTTCAAATCTTGCGTTAATGTGTGGGGCACAGGGAAGGAAATCGTTTTCAAATTTATAAGAAACTGTCTTGAGCTCTCTGTTGCCACTGTTGCTGCTACTTCTCCATTGTGCTCATGCTCTGCTATTAGCTTCTGCCCTCTGCCACATACCAGTCTGCCTTGGAGCCAGCCGAGCATGGACTGAAACATTCAGTAAATAAAATGTGAGCCTGGATGAGTGGGAAAGACACTGGAGATAAGTGACAAGAAGGAGCAGTCACGAGGCAAGATCACATGGTGATGTGGAAAGAAAGCTGAGTTCATAACAGAATGGCTGGGAGCGGGGACCAGGATGGCAACCTTCCTGGAGACTGGATGCCCTGAGACTGAATGGAGGCCTGCACAGCAGGGCGAAGACAGTAGATTCAGAGCTATGTGGAGCAAGCAGCAGCCCAGCTTTGCCTGATCTGACTGTGGGCTGGAGCCAAGATGGATACTCAAGGCAATACACGTTAATTTATTTAGAGTGGGGACTTCAGGGTCAAGTCTGGGTTCCAACATCAATTTATTCTACCATTGTGCAACCGCAGGACAGTCATGTCATTTGATGCTTCTATCCTCAGATTTACCATCTATAAATTGGGAGTAATGAGGAATAACCAATCTTATGGGTTGGGTACATTAAAAATGCTAACTCTTGACTGGGAAGGGGTGCGAAGGGTGCAAGGTGAGAGCCGGGTGCGAGGCGGGATCCAGGCGCGAGGTGGGAGCAGGGCACAGCTCCCTTTCAGAACCGACCCCACAGAGCTCCAGCACGGGCACTGGCAACTCCAGCATCTCAGCCCCCTGGGGGCCTCGGACAGAAAAGGACCTGCCAGGGAAGCACTCAGCACTGGTGAGTGACGCATGTGAGACTCTTCTGGCCCCCTCAGGCTTTGGGGACTATTCCTACTACAGCTCTGTGGAACCAAGATTCTGAAGGGACAGATACGGAAAAGAAAGTAAGTTCCTCCTGGAAATAATGGAGATTAATGAAAAACTTGCAGAAGCTCAAAATGAAGCCACCGTAAACGACACTGGATCCATTGTCAGAACTAAACAGAAAAAAATTATTGAAAATGTGAGCAAAGCTTTTGAACAGCATGAATTTGAAAACCCCAAGGAAATTTTAACAAAGATGATTTAAAATTTCACAAAATTTTAAAAAGCATTTTCAAATGTAGAGGAAAAGATCACATTAATGACAACTCCCTGCAAAATATAAAAATAAAGACCAGGCATGATGGCGCACGCCTGCAATCCCAGCACTGACTGGGGAGGCTGAAAACAGGAAGATCACTACAATCTGAGCTGCTTTGTGACACCCTGTGTCAACACATTAAAAAAAAAAAAAAAAGATGACTCCCCTCTAATTAACTGTGTCAAAAGTAAAGTGCACCCCCCAAAATAGAAAAAAATAAAAGTAAAGTTCCAAAAGAACAATAACTCATGAGAAACACTTCTCATGAGTTACTGTTCATGTTTAAACTCCCTCACTGTTCCGTCGCTAGTAGAGATGTGATTATTAACACGGCTGAGAACCGCAGGCCGTCCCACCACACCCAGCGTCCTCCAGAACACCAGGGGCTGATGGGAATGGGGAAGGACCCAGGAAGGGAAAACTTTCAAGTATTTATGTCATATCAGCTAACCAACATCTCGGAGAAGGCCAGCAAGACAGTAAAAGCAGTTGTCTCTGGGAAGTGCAACAATGCATAGCTTTACTTTTCTTCTTTGAACTTCTCTATTTCACAAATTTAGATATGGATGTGTACATTTATAATAAAGCAAAGCATTCTGCATGTATTTATTACAAAAAAACTGTCTTGAATAAAGTGCAGCATCATCAAAATTTCTCTAATCCTCAAATTCTTTAAATTCTTCAAATTCTCTACTTTTACAAAAAGATAGTATCTTCTTTGAAATTCTAATTTACAACTGTGCTTCCCAACCTCAGGTTTAAACTTCAAGCTCATTCCACTCTTAACTTTTGCCAGTCACAAGCAAAAAGCATGACCAAGTAAAAGAAACATTAGTCATGGCTTTTCCTGGAAACAATGAATGGTGATGACTTCTACTTCTCAAACATACCATTCCACCTCACCAAGAGTCTTCTCTAACTCTGCAACAAGGAATCTATAACTTTACTACCAAGCTTTGTATTTGGAAGGTGTATCACAGATTTAGAGAGCATTTCAGACTGGTCAACTTCACCAAATTTGCAAGGTAAGTAAGGCTGATATAACTCACCTTTCACTTTGCACCTAAGGAAACTAAAGCCTTGAGAAATTTGTTATCAAATGGCTACAGTTTTTCTATTAAGTTATAAGGTCTGTACTCTGATCTTACAACACTACTGATGTCAATCCTCAGTGTAATTTAAAACTATGAAAATGATACAATCCAGCACTTAAGACTACAAATAAGTACTAGGAGACACTTCAAACACAAATCCATGGTAATGCAACTATGTGCAAAGAAGAGCAAGCAGAGAAAACGCTACTTTTTATCCCTCGATGATATTCATCCTGCTTTGCTAACAGGGACCTTAGCAGTCCAAGCAGTGGTAAAAGTCTGAAGTTCCACTGAGAATGCACAGGCAGGTAGAGAAGCCTTTCCTGGGTTTCCTTGGGGCCCAGGAAGTTTATATTTGTAATTCAATGGAAAAGTTGTTGGGATTCTACTGAGTTCATTCCATTCTAACCCTTCCAATGCAGCCCATGATGAGAATAAAGACATTAAGACATATTTGTAGTTGTGGGAGCCAAGAGCATCCTAGGTCCAAGGCTAACCTGAACAAAAGTATTAATTTGTGACTGAGAGGGGCAGAAGTGCTGAGTGTGATGAGCTGGGCTGAGCAGGAGGCCTGCGATCACCTCTCAGTACGCAGAGAGAAGGGTGTGCCAAAGCAGTACCCTGCACGACACAATTCAAGGCAGTGGCACAGTTCTGGGCTCCGTGCTTTCAGCTCTGCTGTGCAATCTGTCATGCCCCAGGAGCCTCTTCCCTGAGGGAGGCTCATGGTCCTTGCCAACAGTATGGAGCCTGGCTCTCTCCCTCCCATGGGGCTCACGCAGGCTTCTTGGGAGCCATGGGGTGGGGTGACACTGACCGGCAGCTGCTTTAGAGACTACACCTCGGTACCTGTGCCAGGTGGATTTGCACTGCTTCAAGCCAACTCTGTACATACATGGACATAAGGCCAGATTTAGCTGAAATAGACAGTACTGCTCTTCTTTCCTGGAGCCCTCCAGGTGGTCTGCCACAAGCATACTCTGCACATTTTACAAGCAAAGATCACAGCTTCAGCTCTGAACCAAAGAGGAAAAAAACTTACGGAGTAACATTTTTTAAAAAACCCACAATGTCCAAAGGTTTTACAGAGCACATATTTTTTCACATCACACCCTCTGCCTCCTGCAGGATAAGAGATTGTTCAACACTATTACCGCCCTTAGAGATTGTGACACATTCAAAGAAAAAAAAGTCTGACAGCCATTGCACAATAGGAGTCCTAGCCGTGGAAGCTCTCCACCTTATGGGCAAAACAAAGCTCAGAGCAGTCATCTCTGCTTGCACGAGAAGAGCAGAGACTTGCGCCTGAGCCGCAGACTTCTCACTGACTTTTCCTACGACTCTTCCTCACGATGTAAGAAATTTAAGGCCAGCTGATCTCGAATGTGACAGCCATCCTTTCAGGGCTTTCAATGACACAGGCACTCCTTGTGGCGTGTGTGCCTCATGTTCTCCACCGCTGACCTAGAGTCTCGAGGAAAGTGGAGATTGTGGAAGTGGAAGTTTTTAGCAGCACTCAGAAGCTCTGTTACCTCCGAACATCAGTCAGGGAGTAGTAGGAAGAGAACAAGTTTTCTTTCCCTGTGATTTTAGATATTCAACTAGTGTTCAAGATTACTAATTTCTTTTTTTTTTTTTTAAATTTTTTTTTAATTTTTATTTATTTGAGAGAGAGAGAGAGAGAGAGAGAGA